AAGAGTTCAGCTCATGAAAAATGGGGGCAAAAACAAAAGTGTTGCGTTAATAATTTTGATCAGTGTATATATAATATGTTAAATTATATATATAATTTAAAAATATGTACTTATATATTAAGCAATATCTTTAAATGTGACCGATATTATCATGACAATTAAGCACATTTTCTTTCCAAATCGTCATTAATGCATCTAGACCTTGTTTGTGTATGTATATATATATATATATATATTGTTGGTCACAGTGTTTATGGCACATAATTATTATTTTAATTAATATAAATAATTAGTGATGATAAATTATTTAAATCAGCTATTTAATTAAAGACAGTACAATAAGTACTACCATGATGTATTAATACTTCGCAGTTAAAATAAAAAGAATCATTACAGTAATGAGAAATTAATATGTATATACTTTTTTTTTTTAGGTGAAATTTTTTTACAGGTTTCATAAGATTCATGCTTATAATCTAGTCTGAAAATAAGAAAATGCAAAAGAAAAGCACTGGACGTGAATAATTAGGCCTCATTATTAATGATGACTGTGGCTGATGTAGCTTGGCTTTTTAAAGTAAGTGCATAAGTGAAATGCTCTGATTGTAAACATCTACTTTTAGATGGGTTGCATAAGTGCACATCAATAACGGTCGGTGGATGAAGATGATGCCACCGCTGAAGAACGAGCTGCTGCTGCAGTAGATGTGGATTATGTGTCTCTGCTCATTACAACCGAAAGGAATGTACCCTCTGGCTAACCTACAGGACGCTTTTGCTTTTTAAAACACGAGACGAGATCTTGAAACACTATCGTTTCTCAGAGAGCCACTAATGCGTTTGAGTTTTCCCTCCGCTTTAAGCCTCCTGTGTCCGGAGTCTGTCCTGCAGGGACGGAGGGACGTTTCCAGGGATTTCCCGACATTTCTGCCGTGTTATCGGATAGCGCTCGGAATAATAACCCAAGCATAACCCAGCAATAATCCTCTGGATATCTGCAGCTGCAATGGAGCGCGAAACCCTCGAAAGCAAATCATCCACTGATCAGAAAAGCGTGGTGAAGACTGAAGTATCCCAGTAATCCAGCGGCCTATTCTGAGTGCTGATGTCAACAAACGGCCCGGGGAATGCGGGAATGCGGGAATGCCGGAGCAGGTGATGGTCACCGTGTGCTTTGGTTCGAGGCGGCGGGCGTGTCAGGAGCTCGGTCGCCCTATAAGTCAACGGCGCCTGTCAGCGGATCGTATATCTGGGGCTTGTTGTCACGTTGTTCTCAGAATCACTGACTGCAGAGGCTCACTGTGACTCTCTTCTGAGCTTTGAATATGGATCTTAATCAGGGTTGATGCTATGTTAAATATGACCAGAGGTGGGGGACTCGAGTCACAAATTTAAGGACTTCTGACTTGCTTGACTAAATAAAGAAAATGACTTGACTTGGACTTGAGATCCAGTGACTTGAGACTTGACTTGATTTGACCTTCATGACTCGGCAGGACTTGACTTTATAACAACTCTAATTATTATTATAAATCATTGCGACATAATTTGGTAAACAAAACGCAAGCCACTGAACCAGTGGCAGAAGTGATCCGAGTCTGCGCAGTTCATGACACTGCACGAGCACAGTCAGGAACACAGCGCGCCAAATACAGGGAGCAAGAGAATCTCCCGAGATGTTTGGATAAACACTTCGAAACTGTATGCATTTGCTGTATGCATTTACAAAGCCAGGACGTCGGCACTTCAAAAAGGAAAGGTATGTAAGCTTGTTCGTTAGTTGAAAACAGCATTGGTCTTAAAATTCAGCTTAAGTCTGTCATTAAATTAAAGTGATTATAAATGATTAATCTCATGTTTGTAATTAATTAACGATGTCAAACTTTAAATTCGCTGGCGTTTGCCTCTCAACAGTGCTTTAGTGTTAAGCATCCTCTTTGTAAATCAATATATGGAATTGTACCACGGAAACTACAGTGTTTTATCGATTAGTGATGTTTCTCTTGCACCCAAAATCCAAGATATGTTGTCAAAATGGCCCTAGTATGAGTTTTTATATTTATAACATACGATATTTAGTAATATTTTCAGCGCGGCTGCCAGTTCCGAGGTGAGCCACTGACTTGACTTGACTTGCTTGATTTGTTTGTACTGTGACTTGAGACTTGCTTGAGACTTGATGGTAGGGACTTGAGACTTGCTTGAGACTTGAACATGTGTGACTTGCCCCCACCTCTGAATATGACACAAGTGAAAATATGCACACGCACACTGTATGTATGTAGGTTGTACTGTCATTAGGTCTTGTCTGATTTTTCCAGCCCTTGTTTTTCTCTGGGCCAGAAATGGCCATCACAGCTGCTCTGCAGTTTTGGAAACTGGTAAGATATATTTTCAGTTTTCATTGATGATTGTGGGATGATCACAGCAAACAACAGTATGACACATCAGCCCTCAAGAACAATGAGTTTCTGGACTATCTATCTGTCTGTCTGTCTGTCTATCTATCATTCTATCAGTCTGTCTGTCTGTCTGTCTGTCTGTCGTTCTGTCTGTCTATCTATCTATCTATATCTCTCTGTCTGTCTGTTTGTCTGTCTGTCTGTCTGTCTGTCTATCTATCTATCTGTCTGTCTGTCTGTCTATTGTTCTATCGTTCTATCTATTGTTCTATCATTCCATCCATCCATCTATTAATCTGTCATTCCTTCCATCCATCTATTGTTCTATTGTTTCATCCAAACATCCATCTATCTATCATTCTATTAATCTGTCTATCCATCTATCTACCCATCCATCCATCCATCGTATCCTGTCCTTCAGTCAGTCCGTCTGTCTGTTTATAAAGCTGCATCATATTCCATGTTTTTGGAAGGTATTCTGCAGGTCTTTCTCTGCATGAGCAGCTGAAGAATGTGTGTGATTTTCCTGCAGATCGTCCTCATACGTGAAGTTCTGGATCTAAATGTCTGAATGCGGGATCAGGCCTCTTCTGGTCCGATCTTCTTCACAAGGCTTCTTCACAAACCTCTGCAACCCCATGGAAACATTTCCACAGAGTGCCCAGATTTACTGCTCGGCCCGGCTTTACTGCCAGCTTTTGTTTACCATAGAATCCTGGGCCGCTGTTCAGGAATGCATTAGAGCCGAGCGGGACGGATCCCGACTCTCCAAACCGCTCCTCAGCCCTGAAATGTCTCTCAGCACGCCTGAGCTTCAGCTGACAGACAACTGATCATCTGAAAGCCCTGGAGTATGATGGACTTCCTACTGTAAATATCTGTTTTACATGTTGTAATTTACAGTGTATACTAATGTGTGTGTGTATAAAATGTTTTAGATCTGAGCATAACTAGAAAAAGATTTTACATAACATAATTATAATCATATAATATAAAATTACAAATTTATTTTAATTTATAATTTATAGCTTTTTTAATTAATATATTTATGTATTTATTTTGTGCAACATATATGAAAGGCTTTGGAGCTGAGCATAACTAGAGAAAAGCATAACTAGAAATATATAAAATATATATAATAAATATATATTTTTTACTAGTATATATATTTTATGATATGAAATGTTTATAATAATAAAGGGTTTTATATAATATAACTATAATATAATATAAAATTACAAATGTATCTTTATTTATAATTTAGTTTTTTTATTTAGATTTTTACTAGTATATATTTATTTTTGCTACAATAGACTGTATGAAATGTAATATAAAAATAAACATGACTTTATTTTTCTAGTTATGTTTAGGACTTAAACATCTCATTGGAGTGCAATTTATATAAAATGAGAAACCTTTGGAAGGAAAAAAAGGTCAATTTTTATCTGTCTAGTTAATTGTTCTTTCATTTTTAAACCTCATGCATAGATGATGTATTCATGAACGCACACAAAAGCATGATGGAAACGAGATTTATTTTGTAAAAAGTTATAAAATGAATATTGTACAAAAATAAAGTCTGTGGAGAGCTTTGTTTCAGTAACACAAAACAAGACAAAACGTCTCACAGGACCGACGAACACTGCAGGACGGAAAATGAGCTTCAGCAGACATTTGAACTCTTATCTTGAATGTTCTCTTTCGAGGAATCCACGAGCGTAAGTTACACGCGCAAGACATGTGCATCATACATCAGGACAGAGGAGCGCAGCGAATGCGTGTTTTGACTGCAAAGCACGTTTATCATGATTAAGGTGGAGCGGCTGATGAAATATATCCTGATAAAAGAGGCACCTCGTGCTTTACAGAGGTTTGGCCTGG